TATTGTATTACGGACTATTTTAAGATCAACTTTTAATTCGAAACCAAACACATTTATTTTATTAGTTATTTGAATTAGACTACTAACTTTAATATTCAGCATCAAATTTAACATTTGGTGTAGTTAGATGAAAGTTAGAACTCCCTGAGCCATTCAACGAGTGTAACCACTTGTGAGATTCACTCGAAATAGAGGTTTTTAACTCCAATATATTTTAATTTGCTTGAGTTGCTGCTTAGCGTTTTCTCGTGCATCTAATGTCACAAAAGCAGCTGCCTGTCGGGAAGAAACGTTTGTTGATTTTCACCAAACTTCTGCTAATAGATTGAGATCTAGCTGGTTTACATTGATAGACTGAAGAGGATAACGGTAAAATTTCAGTTTCAAAGCATGTTTTCCGAAATGTTGAGATATTTTGATTTCACGTGCATCATTCCTCAAACAGACGGCAGATGAATAAGGTGTGCTGGTCAATAAACTTCATATTGAAAAGGATAGTTTTGATAATTCTATGAAAAAACGACAGAGATGAGTCTTTACGAACAATTTCCAATGGATTCTTGACCTCGTTGTCTGTGGCAGACCTTCTAGTTGGTCTGGTTATAGACCCTGTCTGGATCGTCATCAGATGCTTGATTCAGCCATCAGTAAAGAGTACTTTGTACTACAGTATATACGTGTTGTGGATTCACACAACCACCGCCACAACCTTTAACTTGTGCTGCGTTTCCGTAGACCGGTTTATTGCGATTAGGTTTCCTTTCCGTTACCAGGACTTTGTAACCAAGAAAAGATGCTGCATGGTGATTATTTTGGTGTGGCTGATTTCATTATGTCTTCCTTTTACCACAATTCCTTTAATGTTTTTGGGAAATATTGCAAATGCAGTGCTTTGGCTGTCTTTGGCATTGGTAACATTTGTGGCTCCACTATTTGTAGTCACTTTCTGTTATATGTTTATGTTTAAAGCTGCACGACGTCAAAGCAGAAGGATGTTTCTCAGTGAAAATTTTCACAGCTCCAACGGAAATAACATTCCACGGAATGGTGCTATGAAGCAATTCAAAGCTATCAAGACAGTCGGTGTTATTTTAGGCGTTTACATTGTTTCATGGATGCCCATTCAGGTCCTATCCGCTGTTCATTGTTATTATACAGCGACGAATCATCTCTGTAACGACATCAAATTAGAAAATGTTGTATGGCCCTGGGTTGAGGCCATCGCTTTTACTTCATCAGCAATCAACCCATTGATTTACTTCTTCAGAAATAGCGACTTTCGCCGAGCCTTTCGCCGCACCTTCCATTGGCTACCTCGTGTTGATGAACACAATTTTTCAGACCTTAGTGCACAACCAGATCGAAACCGAAGGATACAAAAAGGTGGAACTAGTATCAGTTTTGCAAGTAAGGAAACAGAACGCTGAGAAAAGTGTTATTCAAAAATTAAAATTGTAAAGCTGCCTAATCATAAGCCTTACCCCTTCATAAAGGTATGATGTTCAAAATGGAAAAATCGATTTCTGGGATTTTTTTTCAACGTAATTGTCTTAAATGTGACTTAAGACGCAATTGTGATATTCAAGTCTTTCATGACATGCAGTTTTTGCTTGTCAAACGCTCCTCTCTGAGCATTAGTCGTTAGTCAGTTAATGATGCAGGCAAGATGTCAGAAGAATTGACTTAGCACTTGTTTTTGGTGAAATCTCTTACATATTAAGTCCAGGAGAAAAACATTTCCTGAGCCATTCTTTTGCTTTTCTCCAGAGGACTCGAGAGCATCTAAAGTGAAAGTTTATTCGATTCAAATTTAGGCCCGGAAGCTTTTCATGCCTACTTACATTTGCATTTCTAAAACCTCTTTATGTCTGCTTCTCTGCAATAGAGTTATTTTAAGTGCGGTGGACCTGTGAGTTTGTCCAAAATCAAAATCTGTCCTCCCAAAGAAACCGTATTTCGGTGGGCGCATACTTGGCGGATGATGGCGAACTTTGTTCTTCAAATAGCCCGCAACACAACGGAAATTGGTGAAAAAAAATGTTTCATATGCAAAACTATAGCACTTCCATCTTAGTGGTTGAATTTCTGGGAAAAACTACAAAATATTTATATTTGTATCAGGAATAACATACCAAAAGACAGATAAGGATGTTTAAATAAATTTACCATTTGCAGCTATTTTAGAGAGCTTTTAATCGCTTTTAAAAGACCCACCTCCTGGGCATTTTTTAAAAATTCAGACTTTCAGTTTATCTTAGACGTAACGCATCATATGATTGAATGCAAATAAACCATTTCAGTTTCGGTGACACAAGGAAATCTTGATCAGTTTTCAAACTTATTCTCTTACGCCCTCTATCGACTACACCAAAGTTACATAAATGAACTGTGCTTTGGTTGCTCCGTGAACAGCTAGTCTCGAACCGACTTTAGCGTCGTTGTCCCATTACTGACGTTTTTGCTGCGCTTGTTGACAAAACTGTTTTGACGCTGACAATCGTTGGCACCATTAATTTTTTTTTTAACTCTATGGACAACTTTTAACAATTTCTGTGTTTTATTTAGATCGATATTTTGCAAATCGGATTCCTTTCTGTTGTCAATAAACTCTAACCATGAAAAGGTGCCATGATGCCATAGCCTCAGTGTGTTTTAGTTCAGTGGTTCTTCCTTTCTCAAAGATGTAAGTTGATGATGAGATGAAAAGTAATTTTTCAGCACTGTAATTGTCCATAGCATTGGTCTTACCATTCTCAAACATAGTTGTAATCAAATAATAAGCAGATTATGGTCTTCAATGCTACTTTTCTTGTGTTTTTTATTCGGAAAAAAACAGTTTGAATCTTATTAAAGACCCTGCTTGAAAAAACGCGAAGCTTGTGTTTCCGAACAAGTGATGTTTCTGTCATTCTTCAAGTTCTATGAATACTTCCTTCGCCCGCCCGAGAAATTAGTTATTTGGATCATGGTAATTTGATCTCCCTAGGCGAAGAAAATTCCAAGCAAATTTTGCAATCAATTTATACAATCACACACGAGGATTTGTCACTTTGAATCCCAAGGTTCAATCAGAAAATCGTGTGATCGACATCAATAGTCTGAATGACTGTATTAGGGACCTTTAGCGGTTAGGAAAGCAACGCCAAGGAAGACGTGGATTTAAAAATGAATACATACTTATAGTTGGTTTTTCGCGAATGATTGGATATGTTTACCATCTTCTTCGGCGTCGCGAGTTAACCTCAGCATAACATATGAGGGCGGCGTTGAGTTCCAAATAGAAACTTAATTAAGTTGCCGTCGGGGTTTCCTTTCTTCGATCACGCAAATTTTGATGATTTCACGTTGTTATTAAGGACCTCTAGCAAACCACGACGGCGACAGCAACAAGGACGTGGCAAAACAAAAGATCTAATGAGCAGAACAATAGCTTAGTATGTGCGTTTTAAAACTGCGTACATTTCTTAGCCGTCCTCTGCAAAACAGAGTGGTCTCAAAAAGGGAACCCGAGGCACATTATTTAAGTTTCCATTTAGTACTCCACGCCGCTCTCATACGTTATGCTGAGATTAACTTGTGGCGCCGTAAGAGACGGTAAACACATCCAGTAGTTCGCGAGATTCCCACTTATAATATATATATATATTCATTTTTAATTCGACATCTTCCTTGGCGTTGCCGTCCTAACTGCTAAAGCTCCCTATTATTTCGCAAAGGACGGCTAAGAAATGTACACAGTTTTAAAACGCACGTGCTGAGCTATTCTGCTCATTAAATCTTTTGTTTTGCCACGTCCTCGTTGCCGTCGCCGTCGCCGTCGCTTTGCTAAAAGTCCCTACTTATGGGGAACGAGGAAAACCGCCACAACGGGCACACAAAGCGTAAGCCGGAATTTTCAATCATCGATATTTAATGTGACTTCGACTTTTTATGCCGATCGCAGCGATCGGCAAAAACCGCGATCTTCTTCAAGATTGCCTTACGTGTCGCCGATTTTTTGAGATTGATTGACACTTAATTCTTAATTATTGATATTTTTTTACTGTATGGTGATACCATGTAAGTGGTCAATTCTAGTAAATCTCTATAGAGAATGCACGACAGCTTGGATTGATTCGTGGGGCATCTTGGAAAGAATGTAGCTGAGTCCGATTCGGCAATCATTAGAGTCCATACCCCCACATATTACAATTTTTCTTAGCCGTTTATTTTTCAGTTAGGATGTGTGCTGGAAACCAACGTTGGAGGGTCTAGTGAGGAGACAGTCAAGATCATATTGACATATGGAAGGATGATTAAATATTTGTTTCTTGAGCAAATGCTGAAAAGTCCTTTCTTTTTTGTCAATGTAGAATGCCCGTAAATGTCAAATCATCTACTCCAATTTATATGTTAAACAACGCAAAGCCGCGGAGATCATTTAAATTCGAATATTTATTCAAATTTGAACAGTTTCTACGAGGTTGCAAATATCCTGAATTTGAGATAACACTGATGACTGGGGCTTTTTAGAAAATACAAGTTATTTCCAAGTGAGTATTTTTTTACCCATAGCCTCTTCCTCGGCTATTAAAGTGGATGAACTTGCAGCCTCAAACCATCTGCTATCAAATTATTTGTTCGCTTCAGTAGAATTTAAACAAAGTTCAACATTTGGTATATTTTAGTCGACTTTAAGAGCGGTTCGCATTTTTCTCCGCGATTTGAAGCGAGTGAAAATACACAGCGAATTCGGTAACTGTAACGCGCAATTAAAATTTTTCTATTGATGATTGCACAATATAAGTCAACGAATTATGAAATCATTACCATTAAAGGCTGAAAAACTAACACTTTTCTTTTGACAAGCTGTAAATTACATTCGAAAACTTACTCAAATTACTTATTCACCTCACGTGCGGAATATCTAAGCAGAAGTCGACCACTCCTTTAACTGCGGAGTCGAGTTTCAGGGCGGTTTATTTGTTGTTCGTTAATGGAGGCGGTGTGAAAATAATCACCCAATTTGGAACTTACGTTGCCGAGAAGAAACATGAATTTCACCTGCTTAGAAAAAGGACCGAGCGATGCAGCATTCATTGCTCTATCATCATGGTTCGCTTTGTCTGGTTTAGCAGCTGTATTCGGTAATACAGTTGTGTTATGGCTCTTCTACAAAAGCAAGTCCCTACGAACAGTTTCGAACAGATTTTTGGTCTCGTTGTCCGTTGCGGATCTCTTGGTGGGAGCTGTTGTGGAGCCAATCTTTTTAGTCGAATATCTCACTCCGTCAGTAGATAATCAGAACGTAATACATTTCTTCTGGATTCACTCTACAGCTGCAACTACATGGAATTTGTGCTGCGTTTCTGTTGACAGGTTCGTTGCAATTCGCTTTCCTTTAAGTTATCAAGTGATTCTAACAAAGAAAAGATGTTGTGTAGTGATAACCGTGATCTGGGTAATCTCTCTGTTCCTTCCTTTCACGATAATGTTTGTGAAAAATGAAGCAACTGATCATCACGCAGAACTGTGGTTATCATTTGCATTCATTTTATTTGTGTTTCCGATTATCGTGGTATTTTTCTGCTACATTTGTATTTTCAAGACAGCCAATAAACAATACAAACGAGTAAAAAAAGACTATCAACACGGGGATGACAGCTCACGCCGGGCTTTAAACAATTTCAAAGCTATCAAAACAGTTGGACTTGTTTTGGGTGTTTTTATCGTTACATGGATGCCATCTTTAATCTTGGCTCTTGTCACCTATTATTACCGTAAAACAGAGCATGAACAATGCGAAGAACAGGAATTGCATTCCATGGCGTTGCCTTGGGCAGAAGCAGCGGCTTTTACTTCATCAGCTATCAACCCATTGATATACTATTTCAGAAATGGCGAGTTTTGCCAAGCCTTCAGAAATACCTTTAATTTTGATCGGTTGCACGGTGTTCACTATAAAAATGCACCAGACCCTGGAGCAAAGCAAGAGCAGACCCGGATAGATGGAGGTGTTGGAATTCTTAGGAAATTTCCAAGTAACGAGACACAGCCGTAAGGAAAACTAAACAGTGCTTCCGATTAGTCCTAAATTTGGTCGTCAAAGAGATACAGAAACTTTCTTTCAGTCGGTGGAGACCTAGAGCAAGATAGGGTTGAAACATAAATGACATCACTGGAGATTAATGTTCTAGAATGTTCTTTGATTCATATTTTAATGCTCAGTCTTGCTGCATGATGTTCATTTATAAATAAAGTAGGATCTAATCATACAAAATGTTTTAAACTTTCAAGCATAACTTAAAAGATGAAGCCTAAATCAATCTCTTGTTGGTATCACTCGATAAGCTCTCAATGAAGCGGGGTGTTCTAAATTTAGACATCGAATGTCGCAACAATGTAACACAATTTAAGATCTTTTTGATATTACGTGCGGTTTTTCGTTGATGAAATGATAAAGTCGAGACTGCACTTTTATTCCAAGTTTCCGCCAATAAAAAGCACACGAGGAAGTAAATAATACGTAAGTTTCAGTTCGTAACATCTGGTCCAGAAAGGAAAAGCGATTGCAAATTTCTAACATTTTGTAAACTTATTTAGTTAAAACTTCTACTTTCGCTTCATAAAGAGAAAATTATTGCAAATTACAGTTACATATAATTTTGTGAGTTCTACTTCATTCTCGACCAGTATCAGAGTTACTCAGCAGTGCAGTATCCATCGTTCTATCACTGTGGCTTTCCTTGTCTAGTTTAGCAGCTGTAACTAGAAATGAAGACGTGTTGTGGTTGTCCTTTAAAAACGAGTCTTTGCGAACAACTTCCAAACGTTTTTTATCCTCGTTGTCTGTAGCAGACTTGATAGTTGGGCTTGTTGTAGGCCCTGTGTGGATCGTTATCAAACGTTGGATTCAACCGCCATTTAACACAGTTTTGCACGACTTCACAGACCTGTTGTGGATTCAAGGTAATTTGGTATTATCAACTGAGTTGATGGCGTAAATTGGCCACCTTGTGTCCTGACCTTTAAACATTTTGTTTCACCACAGTCTCGTTGCCTTCGCTGTCTTTCTTTGCATGATGTCTCTTATCTGGGATGGAGATCTAAGCGCTTTATTCAAGTTCTCTCAGTTCTGTAAATCCACTCTGTCTAAGCTTTTATTGTAAAATAGTGTTCTTCATACATCTTGCCGCCATCATAACAATTTTGACCAAAAACTAATGCTTGGTGACGGGCATTTGACGGAAGCAAATTTACATGTCGTCAAAGACTTGTCTGATGTGACGGAAAAGACATATTTTAATTATCACGACTTAGATTTACATTCACTTAGAAACAGTATTTCGGAAATTAAAGCTTCCGCTTGAAATAAACTGTGTGAGGGGCGTTAGGTTTATAGTAAGGCGAGAGTACTTCTTCGCTTGAGTTGTCCTCAAAGTTTTGTCTCCTTAGTTTCTTAATTACCACGAGTTCCACCATTTCGTTCCGTCTGATTTCGTTCTAGCTGTTTAGTAAAGTCCGGTACATTTTGTTTCGACTTGTGAAGACAGGGAAACCGAAGGAAAGTGCGGCGAAAGGCTCGGCGAAATTCGCTATTCCTGAAATAGTATATCAATGGGTTGATCGCTGATGAGGTAAAGGTGATTACTTCAACCCAAGGCCCTATAAAAATATCAATTTCCATTTTATTCTACTTCCGTTTTTCTTTTATATAATAAAATCTAATCAACAGTAGAACTAAACTTAGCATCCATGTGATAATGCAAGCGCCTGAAACAAAACCGATCGTTACTATAGCTTTAAAATTTTGCATAGCACGAAGTCTAATATTTCCCACTTGAATTAGGTTTTCAGCTCCTGAAATTCTCTTGGCCAAAATTCTCCTAAATTATTTTCTGTCTAATTTGAACATGAATAGATATCAAAAGAAGACCACTAATACATGAAACTACAAATGCTGTACATACAAAGGACATAAAAAGCTCTTTTCGATCCTTTCCTGGTTGAAAGAAAAATATTAAAAAAAGGAATCCTCAATGAGATGAAACATACGAAAATGATGACCGCTAAGCATCTCCTCTTGGTCAAAATATCGTGATACTTAAAAGGAAATCGAATCGAAAAAAAAAGGTCGACTGAAACACAACAAACGTTGAAAGCAGTGGCGGCGGTTGTGTGAACCCACGACACTAATCTAATATCAAACAAAATGTTTTGGACCCTAGGCTGAATCCAACTTCTAATGAAAATTTTAAAATGGATCCACGACAAGCCTAACCAAAACGTCCGCCACTGATGTAGAGGCTAAAAAACGGTTGGAAACTGTTCATAAAGACTCTGTTTTACAAAAACGGCGTTTTTGTAGAACAGCTACAACACAACGGCATTTCCAGCTACAGTGGCTAAACTAGACATGGAGAGCGACAATGAGAGAATAATTGATTCTGCACTACTGAGATGTTCGCTTGGGCGGCTATCATCATTCATGATAAGATGATGTAGGGCAACAGCAGAAGTCAAGAAATAAGTCTGAGAATTGTCTAAAATTTGCAACTGCGTGTCCTCTTAAGGGAATAGATGTTGCTGAATATGAAATGATACATAAGTTTTTCATATCCGCTTTTCAAATTAGAGGAACGCGTAATGTGTCAATATCGGTCCGTTTGTAAAAAGGTGGGCGTTAAATGTAAAATATCCGAATTTAAAAAAAAAACAAACAAAAAGGTTTGAGGATTTAAGACTTTGTCCAAACCTATTCAATCCATCAATGCAAAAAATATTCGCAAAAGTTTAAAGAAAATCAACAACAGTTTCACCTTGACAGGCAGCTGCTGCGTGACACCTTAAAGCTTTTTTTCCACGTAATCTAAACCAGCTCAAGGGGTACTGACTTAAATCGTAAATAACCAAATGTCAAATTTAACGCTGGATATCAAAGTTGAAAGTAAATGTGCTGAGTTTAGAATTCGAAATTAGTAAGATAGTCGGTAATTTGATGCGTGTTGCGCGTAATGCGTAATTTAAGCAAACTCAAGCGGGGAGGTCCCCAGTATTTTAAACAACTACTTTGTTGCAAAACAATAAAAGGCAGAGATAATTTCAGGCCAAAATGAATGCTTCGGGTCTTTTACCGGCCAATTAATTTGAATGGAACTTTTTTTTTCTATGCCTTTGAGGCCTCTCGAAAAACACATTAGAATGGCGTAGTAAATTGTTCGTCTTTAAACGAGGTAGAAGTCTTTAGACCACGAGGGAAATGTTACTCCGATAGTGTTCTGGTTTACGAAGCGTTAAATATTCAACTGGCATTGCCTTAAGTCCGGTAGCTGAGTTCTGACGAGAAAAATAATCAAATAGAGAGGTTGTAAACAAAGACGTTTACTACAAACGGTAAAAAACGACTTCGTGCCGTCTGTGTTCAGCCGCTTGTGCGTTACGACGTAAACTATTGTATAGGCTTTAATTATTGCCTGTCTTACGCCAAACTCTCCAAAAGAGCGTTATAACATAACGTCACAACAGCCATGTTGGCGATGTAAAACGATGGATTGGTAGCCTTTCAGTGTAAATATTTGCATAATTGCTGCTTACTGAAAGAGTGATCATTCCTTTTTTCATTAATATAAACTGCGGTGTTTTACATGGATTTCTAGCCCTGAGAAAAGCCGTTACAGCATACTTGTAAAGTTACGATACATTTCTACGTGTGTTTGATATCGCCGAGTCATTGGTATAGCCATATGTCATTAAAGACTGGATATCCTCTCCTACTTTTAAAAGAGTGCGAAGTAGTCCTTACACCCTGAAATCTGCAGAGGACTGGAAATTGAGTTTCTTATGACCCAGAAGAATATTTATTCACGAAGACAAATAATGACAGATTAAAATAAAGATTCATTTTGGGGGTCATCCTTCATTTTAGTTATATTTTCCGTTGTCAGATCAGCCTCCAGACTTCAACGTTAAACATCAAATTCGCCCGCTGACTCGGAAGAAATCAATGTTGCCACTTTTGTGATTCGCACGAAACACAATTTAGCTGTTAACCAGGAGCTGTTGACAATTAGAGTATCCAAATTAAGAGTTTTCTAGTCCACATCCTGCGTTATTAACTATAAAACAGGTGCACGTCAAGGGAAACCTTTCTATAAATTTTGGTTCTTAATCGTCTCTTAATCTTCTACAAAATCACTTGAATCGTAACGATAACTCTTTTTATCAATTATGGAAGGCAGGGAAGGATTAATACCGAGATAAAGATTTAAAAAATTTCCCAGGAGCGCGTCTTTCTTTTCATCTCTTTTACCGTTTTCGGAAGCTTTAAAAGATCATTACGACGCGCCTGTCAATAAAAAAGGATATTGCATAAGAGGGATATGATAATTCATGCCAAAAACACTTTAGTTTCAGAAAGATCTGTTTGGTTTGTAGAGAGGATAAGAAAAATTTAATCGTTTCTCAAGCTTACTTTCTTTCTTCTGCTATCGCCATCCACCATGAATGATAGCGACCCACACGTTCAGCTCAGCAGTGCAGCGTCCATCGTTTTATCACTATGGCTCTCAATGTCTGGTTTTGCAGCTGTAACTGGAAATGCAGTTGTGTTGTGGCTTTTCTTCAGAAATGAGTCTTTACGAACAATTTCCAACCTTTTTTTAGCCTCTTTATCCGTAGCGGATCTTTTGGTTGGGCTTGTGATTGTTCCTGCCTGGATCATATTCATGTGGTGGTTAACATTTCACAACCTTTTTAACGTCTTTTTAGAATGCTTGTGGGTTCACACAACCGTCACCACCACTTTCAACATTTGCTGTGTTTCAGTCGACCGGTTTATTGCCATTCGGTTTCCTTTCCGTTATCAGGATATAGTAACCAAGAAAAGATGTTGCACAGGGATAATTTTGGTGTGGTTATTTTCACTGGGTCTTCCTTTCTCGACGTTGTCGGTAACTGATGAGGAAAGTATCAGTGTCTCAGTGCTGTGGATTTCTGTTGCACTTATAACATTTGCTATTCCATTACTTGTAGTCTCATGTTGCTATATTTGTATTTTCAAATCGGCAAAAAAGCAATTTAAAAGAATATCAGGTAGAGAAAATCCTACAACATACAACGACAATGTCAGAGTTCGTAGTATGAAAAATTTCAAAGCTATCAAAACAATCGGTTTTGTCTTGGGTGCTTGTATTATCGCATGGACGCCCAGTTTTGTTGTTCTGTTTCTTGATTGTTATTACACTGTGATAAGTGACTGGGATAAAAGTTTGAGACTATATTATGTTGTGTGGCCTTGGGTTGAGGCAATCGCTTTTACTTCATCAGCAGTCAATCCATTCATATATTACTTTCGAAATAAAGAGTTCCGCCCAGCTTTTCGCCGTACATTTCGCTGGTTACCCAGAAGACGTAGCAAGATAGGCACAAGAACAACCAGGTTGAAGTCAACTCGAGACCTAATGACAGAAATGGTTTGAGTTGTGGAGATATAGGAAATGAAAAGAAAGAGTTCTGAAGACATCTCAAAGGAAACACGACTGCCATTAATAAAAAATTTTGAAATGAACTGCAACTTTGTTTTGTGCATTTTATTGTAAAAATAGCGTGTGAAAGTCTAATAAATTACCCTCTTTATAACAATTCTTTATTGGTTGTCTCTGTGTAATTCGTTTTGACAGTCCCTAAGTTCTAAGATCTGCTTAGGCGGTTACTCAGTTGCCTTATCTCCAGCCATGTTTTAGGAGATGTTTGCAAAAAGAGTGCAGAACAGGTTTTTACCTTTCTCTAGAAATATTTTCAGGTGATTTCTTGTTTGTTCTTGAAAACGCCCACAGATATAAGGTTATTCAGCATCGACTCAATGATCCTGGCTGGGATGATCATGTCAGTTCAAACGCATAATCAAAAGATTTTTCAGATTAATTTGCAAAATTCACTCGTTATTCCTAAGAAACCTCTAAAAAAGAAATTGTAAACAGAAGTCGGTTTCCCGGGGATCAGTTGAAAACGAAACCCATATCTTCTTTTCAGATTAATCCTGAGACAGAGAGCATCTATTGCTGATACATGTACCTCACCCAGAAAAAGGACACAGCAGTTTTACGTCTACCTTTCAATCATTGTGGCTTTCTTAAATCTATTTTATATACTCATTAAACAATGTTCGTGTTTTCAATAATACTAGTGCCTTATCAGTGTACCGAAACCGTCCTCTTTTTCCTGAATGGTTGTCATCAGATATTTTTATCTATTCTAATGTGCATGACATCATATATTTACAGTAAGATAACAGTTAAATTCTACTCTGCGCTCAGTGAGGCATTTTGTGGTTATGAAAGTTCTTCTCCATTTAACTTTAGCAGGTGAAAAACTTCAGATAAATAATTTGCAAAGTTATTTGATGTTCTTAAAGTAACAAATTTCGGATCCCCCCTCTTCCTCTAACTATTCCGAGTTTGAATTAACAGAGGACCTGGTGTCGTTGTTTCTCTAGGAGCAAAATCAGATTGTTGTCAGTTTTCCAGGAGGCTCAATCAACGTTCCTCGTTGAATATATTTTCAAAGTCTAATTTACGAGCAGGCCATCCCAGAAGTTTCTCTGTCAACCGACTGTTTTTCAGTTCAACAACATTCTCCTAAGCAACGGCTTCTGATTGCCATTGATTTGACGAACTTAAAACAAAATTGGTAAAGGGTAGATAACGCAATTTGAATACTTTTTTTAAATGTCTAAGCAAAGACAAAGCGAGGAAATACTTTTAATCTCTTTCACATTTGCAAAAGAATGAAGACTGCTCGGCCTGTAACTTGGCAACTTCTAGCCTTGTACTCTGTCGGAATATGATCAGCTAAGCCTTAGCCTATAAGATTTCATCAGTAATTCTCCTTTATGTCTGCCATATAATTAATGTGACGTTAATTTGGAGAATTCGGAATTGGATCAAACAATAATCCCCTAATTGATGTTTCTTTATTCCAATTACTTGTCTGCTTGATATCGTACCGATAGTGTCAGTAAAATTCAGCCTAGATCACTAGTGAGACTTAAATGGTTAAAGACACATAAGGACATAAACATGCAACAACATTTTGTCGAGATCTACTGTTGTTCACGAGGTGTAACGTATTCCTAAGGTAGTTTTGATCATAGGAGAGCTTAAAGGAATTGGGATCTTTAAGCTGGAAGGACCCCTGAGAGATAATTCTACTGAACTTTACCAGCACTATGAGACGTTTATCTTTAAACGAGCCATTAATAAATCAAGTGTACTTTAATAATTCATTAATTATTGGTAATTATGTTATTTCTTATTTCTCTTTTCTTACATATCATTTATTTATCGTTCATATGTCTATCTATTTTTCCAGTTTTACTGTCACTAATCACATTAAACGTTAAAAATTCATTTATTTAGACATTGATAACGATTTTGAAACATTTTTTAGAAAGGTGTTGTTCTTGTTATCTTTATCACAGTTTTGAGGAATTTTAAAAGTTCAGACTCAGATTATCGATTCGTCTTCGTTAATGAAAAGCATATCTGCACGAATGCAATATTATGATTCATACAAAAACATTTTAGTTTCAGAGACATCTGGTTAGTGAGAGGAGGGGACAAGAAATTTTCAAGCGTTCCCAAGCTTACGTTCTTTTCCGAATAATCTTATGAAAAGATTGCAACAGAAGTTGGCTTCTACAGAATCAGTATAAGCGAAACCCTATTTGCAGATCACTTCTTTGGCTCAAAGCATCAGAAGATTATAGGTCTACTGTAGTCGATTATGGTTCAAGCCTCCCTTGGAACAAAGTGCCAAAACAACCTAAATGTGTAAAATCATTTCACTACATTAAACGTAGGCTTTTAACCTTTTGTAACCAGCGAAGTGTAAGTTGATAGTGTAAGTTTGACTGGAAATCGGAGAACAATTTTGTAAACTCATTTCTGATAAAAAATATTCCTCTTTTAACTTATTTGATATCTTACTTTTAGGTATATATTTCTATGGGGGCTCGAAATCAATTGGGACAATTGCTCCAGTTGGTATTTGATATTTATTCATTTAATTAATTGTTTATTTAAGTGTACGTAGGCAATGAATTTAATAGATGTTAATACTAATTGCTTGATTCGTAACAAATATTTTGTGGTTTTAACGACAGAGAGAACGAGCACGACGCGAGAGAAAACTAGGGTGAGTGACAGGCATAAGGAAAGAAAAACGATGGAACCTCTACAATTGAATTGTCTTTCCCCTCTCGTCATGTGCCAGCCACACTTGCTAGGAAAAACCAGTTCATACAGATGGTAGAAGAGTGGGAACGAGAGAAATTAGCCAGAAAACGAGTCAATTATAATTTCTTGATGACCACATTGACACAATATGACATATTCAAATGACGAATTATAAATTATTAATATAAATTATAGGAGTCATTTTTTATTTTGAAAAACATGTGTTTTCAGTTGTCACAATTGGCTCCAAACTTAGAGTTTCGTCGTCGCCTTATCATTTCCTTCGCTCGGAATCGAGTCCTAAGCATACGGTATCTTTTGTGATTATTGTTAAACTGCATGTAACCGTTAACCAAGAGCCGTTAATTGTATGAGAAATCCAGAATTTAGAGGTTTCTGATGGACTTCCTGTCAAAAAAGCAGCCGGATCTCAGGGTAAACTTTGTTTTCAATTATTGTTAAGCTTTTTTATTTATGCGAAACACTAGAGATTTTAAGAGTGAGTTTCTTTTTCATTGTCGATGAGAGGCAATGAAATATTAAGATGTTATCTTAAACATTTTTTATCTCACAAAGGGCAAAAAGAGATAGAAATGAAAGAATCAATCAAAAATCATTTTCTGGAGGAAGGAGTACTTCTTTATCTTTTCTATTGTAAATATGCTCAATACTGAAGACCGATTAAGTTTTTGTTTTAGTTTACTGGTCGGTTCGTTTTGATCTCTGAAAGGGAGATAAACGCCCTTAAGATATAACAAGATAACTTGTTAAGGTGTTAATAAGAATTTTGAAACACTTTCCACAGAGGTGTCACTTTATCCATCTCTTTTACCATAAGACGTGCCTGTCAATACAAAGCATGTCTGCCTATAAGAAATATGATGATTAATGCAAAAACATTATTTAAGTTTCAGTAATACCTGTTTGGTCAATAGCTTGGACAAGAAAATTTCAAGGATTTCCCAAGCCTTTTTCCTTTCTTCTCCCAGCAATGAATATTTGCCATTCTCACGAACTTCTCAGCAGCGCAGCATCCATCTTTCTATCAGTGTGGCTCTTTCTATCTAGTTTTGCAGCTGTAACCGGAAACGCAGTTATGTTGTGGTTGTTCTACAAACACGCATCTCTACGAACAATTTCCAACCGCTTTTTAGCCTCTTTATCAATAGCAGACCTATTAGTTGGGCTTGTTGTAGGCCCTGCGTGGATCGTTATTGGATTTTGGATTCAGCCTCCAGTTCTCTCAAGTTTGTTCTACTTTGCATACATATTGTGGCTTCACACGACCGCCGCCACCACTTTCAACACTTGTTGTGTTTCTGTAGACCGGTTTATTGCGATTCGGTTTCCTTTCCGTTACCAGGTCAGTGTAACAAAGAAAAGATGTTACACAGTGATTTTTTTGGTGTGGCTGTTTTCTTTAATTCTTCCTTTCTCGGTGTTTCTGGTAGATTATGAGCCCATGATAAATTATTTTGTGTCGATGATTTTTCTTGCGTTTATAATATCTGTTATTCCATTACTTGTAGTTTCATTTTCCTACGTTTGTATTTTCAAATCCGCAAAAAAACAATTTAAGAGAATATTAGCAGGAGAAAATCCTACAATAAACAGCGACAGTTTTAGACTTCGTACTAAACAAAACCTTAAAGCTATCAAAACAATCGGTTTTGTTTTGGGTGCTTGCATTATCACATGGATGCCCAACTTAGTTCTGCTGCTTGTTGAATGTAAATATGCCTTAGAAAATAACTGGGCTAGAATTTGTTCGTTGAACCTTGTTGTGTGGCCGTGGGTTGGGACAGTCGCTTTTACCTCATCAGCAATCAATCCATTAATATATTACCTTCGAAATCAAGAGTTTCGCGAAGCCTTTCGACGTACCTTCCGTTGGTTTCCTTGTGAACGCACTGGAGAAAGCACTCCACAAACCGGGTTGAAACCAAGTCGACGCCAGATTTTACGAAATGTTGTGAGACCTGGAGATGCAGCGAATAAAGAGACAGAGCTCTGAGGACAACTCAATCGAAACAAGACTTTTTCTTCCATGGACAGATAAGATGAGGCTGAAACGGACCAAAACTTTCATCAGTCCATTTTCCTGTAATTTTCGGCTAAAAATCTAATTAATAAACATCTTCAGAAGAATGCCCAGACATTGCTTTTCACTAGTATTTCTTATTCTGTTTTGAGAATCCTTTAAGTTCAAGACGTTCTTTGATGTTTACACACATTTATGCTTAGAGATTCGCGGACCAGTAACAACTGTTTCCATCTGCCTTCGTTCGTGCTCAATTCCCT